ATGCCAGTTTCCCAGTAAGCCTTGTTGTCATTTATTCACAACTCAATGATACCACGTTATTACAAACACTATCACATGAGTAAATCAACTTCAATAATTAGAAGATGGAGAGTGTTCAATTATATTTGTGTGATAGGAAGCTTAGATATATTCTTTTGGTTATTAACTTCCATTGCCAATTGTATTTCAGATACATGGGGTTTTATTCACAAAACTATATTGTTAACTTTTATAGCTAACTAGCACCTGGAAAAAAATCTGTATTTCTACCACTTCACTATTGTATATAGTTTTATATAATTAAAACAATAAATCCTATGGCCATATTAGAATGTAATTTCAACATGCAGTTTATCTTGATAGTTTCCAGAGGATTTTAAAATTAGACTTAACTAGGAGGATAATTTTTCAGCACATGAGTGAAACATAACCGTTGACACCATGCATTTATTTTGACTGAGATTCTTGACATTTTTTCCTCTTATGCCTTGTTACTTTAGTGCCCTTGAACTCACATAAATGCTTATTTGGATTATTTTGGCTGTCTAATTATGGTTGAGCTCTGATTGCTCATCCTGAATTCAATATATTATTTATCTGGTCTATTAAAAAATCATGCCATTTCAAGTTTGTGAAATAAGATGTTAAAAAAAAAAAAACACCCATTATTTTTGCCAAGTTTTCTTTAGCACAACCTATGTTACAACTTCTAAAATGTGAAACAAACATCTTCTATAGCCTGATTAGTATATTAATAGTAAAGTGAAGATATTTTATGGGTACTTTGGGCAGAATGTGAACAGAAACTTGGCACAGTGGCCTTGGTGGTGAGGCATCCGTTTCCTGTCCTCTAAAGTGAGTCTGTAGCTTAGCCTGTGGATAGTATGTAAATGAATCCGTGATCTTTATGCATTCTCTTGCCTTCTCATGTCTCATATGGCACAAGTAGGGGGGTAGCTAGGAGGAAACGTACCATCTCGCTATGCGTTTATTTCCCGTTAAACTCGAGTGCCTAAACATGGTGACTGGCACCTCAGACAACCTTTTGAGACTCCTGATGTCATTGTTTTTTAATCCTTCCTGTCAACAGCAACTTATTTTTCTTATTAAAACCAGTAATGTCATTATCATTGAGGGCAAGCTTCATCGTTAATAGTGCAAAGTGTTGCTCTTGTGGCGTGTATTTAGTTTGTCTGAGTTTGAGTACCTTATTGGACATGTGTGACTTCAGCTGGTGGCCGACACCTATTGACTTGCTTTGTGCAAATGATAGTACTATTTTTCTGAACACTCTTCAATAAAGAAGCTTTTAAAATATTTGAATACAAAAAACCGGAGCAATTTTGAACTCAAAGATTGTTGTTTTAAGGGTTGCCACAGCACTCTTTAAATTAGTGGTTTTTAATGAATTATATATACGTAATATTTACTTTATCGGTGTGTTTAAAATATTTTTTGATAGATTGTTATGTCTTAAGTGCATTAGAAGGTAATTGTTTGTACTGGAACTGAAGTGTTTCCCTGGCCAGTTTGATGTGCATATGGTTAAAATTTGCAATCTGGTTGTACTTTTAACTTATTAACTGTAAATAAATTTTAGAGAAGACACAGTGTCTAGTCTTTCTAATAATGCTGAAGGTTTTGAAATGCAGTTTTATGTTTGTGTGTAAATTGAAAAACAATTTACATTTGATAAATTTTGACTGTTTCTGTGGACTTCAAACTCCTGGAAGGCTTGAGTTTGTGTTTGGTGATATCTTGGGAGTCTGTATTCCATCAACTATTGAACTAATGATCTAATGAGTCTCCAGGGAGCATTGCTCCATGCCAAAGCCATTAAGACATTCCCAGTTTGCCAGCAATAAAGATTCCCTTAAAAATGCATCAAAATTCCGGGTTCTGTATCTTGACTCTAAGTCCTCATGTGGTGGCTATAAAAGGTCTAAGGCTTACATTCTTATATCACGAAAGAGATTAAGGACTGTCCACATGAGTAGCAACAATAAAATCTGTTCTACAAAATAACAGTTGCTGTTACGTGCCGTTGAGTTGGACCCAACTCATAGTAGGGTAGAATTTTGTTTACAGTCCAGAAGGTAGAAGTGAAGTGTGAGGAAATTCTACAGCAAGGGCAGGATTCAAAGTAGCATGGCCTGAATTTGTCTTTGTACCTGATTTCCCATCAGAAATTGAAGACAGCGTATAGTAATAACTCTAGTGTCCTAGTTCCTAGAATGGAACTCTAGGTAAGTTTCTTAACTTCTCTGTGCCTTAGTTATATCAACTATCAAGTGTGATTAGTAAGAGAGATTATTGGGCTGTTAATAAGGGTTAAAAGGAATATTAATGCTGGACACATTAATAGGAAGTACTTAATAAACGCTGTTAACTGGAGGTATGTGTGCTGAGAATAAGTATATGCTGAATGTGGTCACTTGGGAGTTCGGCTCCCCAGTCTTTCGGTATGCTGAGACTAGAGTATGGTCTGGGAAAACTGAAAGACAGATTAAGAGAAGGTAGTTTGGAGGTGAATTTAATTGAAAACATAGTAATAGCTATATGCTTTTTAGACTGCAGTATGTTGGATTAAGTTGATTTATTAGACAGTTTCACTGTTAAAGTTTAATACTTTTGTCCCTTACGATATCTCTGAAAGATAGTTAGAATATGCTGTTATGTGTTTTGAATTATACCAGAATTTGTAAAAGTAATAGATTAAAATGATTGATCCAAGAACTTGGAAAATTTTGGCACTAAACTTCCACTTTTAATAATTGGGTAAGGGTTGCTTAAGAACCATGTTAGTTTATGTGCATGGAACCCAGTTAGAATTAGTTTTATGAGGTTTGTACTTGTGTTAAAGGACACATGAATATGAGTCTGTTTTAAACAACAGAAAATTACTAACTAAAGTAAAAAAAAAAACCCTCATATTTGAAGCATGGTCATACTTAGGTGTAGACTTTGGGTATAAAGGCTGTACTTTATCTCTAATTGCTTCTCAGCACAAAGAGTAACTTGGTGAGCACGCTGAAGGTG